AAAGGAATGCTAAACCGAGAATTTTATTGCCATTACACGAAATGTTTCTAGGGAGAATAATTCCGATGGTTTCACGTTCGAAATTTCGCTACCGAGTTATACTTTTCACGAAACGCGTTTATGCGCCATTCGTAGTCGCAAAGAAACTCTTGAAATATTGTCCATACAAAATGATCCCGCAGAGCTCGCCAACGATAATTCGGTGCCCTCATCCGGCTCGTCGTGTTTATTACAGCATACGGTTTTGACGACGGTAGGAAACCACGCGGTTTTTCAACCCCCCTCGTTACGCGGACGGCCGAAACGAGCCGTCATTTCGAAACGCGAGGAGCTCGCGCAACCATAGCCGCGATACCACAAATGCGGTTTATTATTTTATCGCGACGACATAAAAGTGACGAGTATACTCATACGCGATTTCTGGATTTCATGCGTGTAACGAGCACGATGTGCGGACAACCGGGCGAAACGATGCGGAAATTTCGCCGATCGATATGGCGACCTTTTTTTTTTTAGAACTTAGAATCCTCGACTCTTTTAATTATATAATTACGAACGCATTTCCAGAGACAAGAGAGATATTTCAGATATTTGCAGTAAAAGTTAGTAAAATTTTAAGTGATTAGTTAATTAAAGTTTCTCGCTGCTTGCTTGCGACATCGTTATTTTTTGTTGCTCGAATATAGAAATATAGAAATTATAAATGAGAGTAATATTTTGTAATTAAACGCGTTTTTATTCTACATATCAATAATGTTGAAAGAGTTGTTTTTTATGTCATAAAGGTAAAAGTTTAATCAACCGTATGGTCGTATCCATATATGCAAAAATATTATTAAAAATTATGTAAATATTTTTCGTAAAACTTTTTGACAACTTAGTCCTTTCAAGTATACAATTAATCCGAATGATTTTTGTATCAAAAATATAAAACATTGCTCTAATGTTTATATATCTAAATATACTTCTTTAAAAAGTGTATTTTAATAGAAACAAAATTTATTGATAAAAAATGAAATTCCTCTCTTGACTTTCGTAATAGTCTTAGAAAAATAAAATATAGTTTTATGTCAATATGTCTTTTTTTACACAGAACAATTTTGTTGAATACGGAAAATGTATGTAAATTTATATGAACTTTACTTTGGTATGCATTGTTTTGGCGAAATGCAATATTCTTGTCAAAAATATGATCTGAGAAACTCGGAACATGTCAGGATGGTGGACGAGTTACGAGGGAAAGACGTGAAGGAAGGACACTTGGTTTTGTCGATGATTTGCCGAGCGGTCGCAACGCGGAAGAATAGAATTGCATTCCGCTTCCGGCAAAATTCCGGCCATATTCCCAAGACATGCTACTTCCGATTACACACACACACACACACACACACACACACACACACACACACACACACACACACACACATATATA